AGTTAGATGTGAGAATTTACCTTATTGTTTGAAATTTGGAGATATCAATTAAATTAGGAGTATATGGAATTAATTTACAAATATAAAATTGGGTTTCGAATTAGGTAGCGGGTTCAAGCTAAAAGGGTCTTCCCTTTTGGTTTGAATTTGAACTTGAATTTGGAGTCCAAATTTATATTTGTGAATTAATTGACCTTTTAGAGACAAATGATAAATAGAAAATTTAATTTGCTTAGGTTGGCCTTTAAATAAAATGATGAGACGAGCCTCGCCAAATAAAAATAATAAATTGCGGGGCCCTCAATAAATGCTATAAAAATACTTAGAATTCGGTGAACCGTTTGCGAATTTCACGGTTTTCCCTAAAAGATAATAAAAGCGTAGCTGCTTTAGGCGCGTATTTTAAATAATATTACCCTTCCTGAATGCGGGTGCACATTTAATGTGACCTAAATCTAATCTCAATGGAGTCGAAATGCGTCAAAAGCCACGGGTGCACTGGTGTGAGTGGTTCGAGATACATTTTCACGACGTTGCAATTCTTATTAAAAGACATTAAAATAAAAGCGGTTAAAATAAAAGGCACATAGGATTAGAATATGTTTTAAAATCAGATAAGAGCAAATACAACAGTTGAGCGACCGTGCTAGAACACGGAATCCGGGAATCGCTAATACCTTCTCCGGGTTTTTAACAGAATTCCTTACTCGGAGTTCTGGTTTGCGGACTGTTAACAGTGTCATAATTTTCCTCGATCGGGTTCAACCGGTGACTTGGGGACACATTAATCTCCAAGTTGGCGACTCTGAAATAATTTATAATAATCCATTCCGACTGCCTTTAATTGGAAAAACTCCTTTACACCCTCACATGGTAGAAAAAAGGAGGTGTGACAGCTCTGGCGACTCTGCTGGGGGACGAGAACCCAGAACTTTGGTTCAGGGTTCAGAATTCGAGCTTAGATATATTTGTTATATTTGGCTTTATCTGATTTTCCTACATGTTTCATGCTAAATTGTGCAAAATGTTGCTTTTTACCGCTTTGATATTATCTGAACTGTATATAAACTGTGCCGAAAACCCTTCTCTTCTCCACCTCCGGGGATGTGCTTACTGGTTGAGACTCCCTATTCTGTTAGTGTCATACCCTGAAATAAGAAAAGAGGCCGGACAAGTTTACTAAGCCCGGATGGCCTTTTGTTCCCGGTAACGTAGCCCCCACTCCTCGACTCGAGTTGTCCGCGTCGAGTTACACAAGTCTAGAAACACATACCCAGGTTTTGAACCTAGAAAAACTTGACTTCCATGGCCGGACTCCCTAGTAGGAACGCTTTATCTGCATCACGTGCATATGACTTAGGGGACTCAACACAGGGGTTGGGTCCGTCTAGGACAAGGTGTACCGGAATAATGGACCATCCTGATGCATCCTATTTGTGCATTATCTGTTTGGACCCGCATGCTGACCGCTTTGAATATTTGGGAAAAGTGGGAACAACAAAAAAGAGAAGATAGCAGTATATGATGATGTTAATTACCTATAACCAGAAAAAAAAACAATGTCCAAGTATGCCAGAAATGCTGCCCACTATTTAACATGAGAGTCTAAATTCACATTAACACAATGACCAAACTTGCAACATGAAGTGAATCTACCCTATTTCAAACGAGATTGAGTCCATATTTGCTTGAATAAGGGGGCGGCCCAATTTGGCTCTTAAAGGAGCCTAAATCCCCTACTGTTTATACGATAGTCAGGCCCAGGAAACAACTTATACCAAATTCAGCTGTTGGGCGGATCGTCTGGGCTTAGCGTTTGAGCCCAGAAATACCACTCGAGTTGGATCCACACTATGCTAGTCATGAATTGAAGGTTGGATACAAAGTTACAATATTATACCCCTTCCTAATCAATTTGTTAACATGCTCAATGATAATGTCTGAATTCTATTTCTTTGTTTTTTACAAAGTGGCTTCCACCTTAGTAAATCAACACACTGAGATACGATCTAAATCTAACAGTTTAATCATGCTATTGCTATTACTAATTATCTCGGATATAGTAACAATTCCAGTTAACCAATTGAACTTGAATTACGCATGAACATAACTATATTTGTTGAATCAAGTCAGAACAAAACTAAAGAGCTCAAGCAGTCCAGGATTCATACGATTTGGCATTAACCATGCTGGACAAATATATCTAAAATCTAGTCAGCCGCAAATATACAACCCAGGCAATACTTATCCAAAAAATAACAGTCCATTTATACAGTTTTAAACACATAATCGTCTTTAATTACCAAAATTCAAACAGATGTATGAAAATAGAATTAAGCTATATTTAAACCAACATAAGGTTCAGGAGTCTCAACAGCCTAGTCTAGCTCAGTTAAAATGAAACGTTAAGGTAAAAATTCTACAGCAGAACCAGCTCCAATTTCATTTCATGTTGTCAATAAGTGATGATACATCAAAGCTAGCTCGAAATGTGTACCTGGATATAAGAAATGTAAGAAGAAGAAGAGAGGATCAGCAGAGCTCAGAGAATCAGCAAAGGTAATCCAACAGCAACACAGCAATCAACACAGCCAATTTTTTAGCCCAGAAGTGACTCAGTAATTCCAGAAATATTTTAAACCAAATGAAACTGATGTATCAACCCCAAAACAGCATCCAAATACCCAGAAATGAACACGGGAAAGCAAAACACTCAAACTAAGATCACAGTTGACTCGAATCTCCCAAATCCACTGCCTAGATGACTCAAACTGTCTTCAATCCTCAAATATTGAACAAAACACAAGGAAATTCAAGTATCTTTCATCCTATATGAGCTAGAGAATTGAATTCAATGATCAAATCTGAAAATGACCTAAGTAACACTAATGTAACAGTAATTTTTTGGGATTTTTCTATTAGATTTCTATTGTTTTTGGATTTTTGAAGGTTTGAATTTCAAATCAGATCTGAAATTGGAGAGGAAGTTTTGGGGGGGATTTTGGAGCTCCCAAAAACTTGTTATACAAGGCAAATGAATGCCTATTTATAGGTGAACAACATACTAGAAGCTTCTATGACCTACCCTTCCCCAAATAATACCTAAATTACCATCACATGTAACCTCCCCTCGTCTGAATTTATTTCTCTTGTTTATTCCCCAAACTACCCCATCTTCCTAACTAAAATTACCCGCCTTAGGTCAATTAAACCAAGCTTTAATAAGCAGACCAATCTATCAGGCAAAATGAACATTTAACAGACCAAAGAACTAATTTAATCACCTAGAACTAAATGAAGCCTAAAAATCTAAAACCATTACAAACCTACACATTTAATCGATCAATATTCAATCTACCCGAATTAAAACAGGGTTTAATACTAAATCGAAAAATCTGAAGAACATCTTTTGAATTAAAGCTACTCAATCAGAAACAACAATTAGACTAGATCCTAAACTTGACTAAGTAAGATGAAAGGGATTATATCAATCAAACTAACCGATTGAACCAAATAGACACAAAACAAATACGATTAGGCTCTAATTAACACAACGATTAATTCACTATAAAGAACTGTTAAGAAACCTAGGGAATCTTGCTGAGAAAAAGAAACTCCGGCTAGTCGGGTTATTCCCAAATTCGGCCATGCTTAGGGTCATTTGAGCTTTATCGACGATCCATTCCTTACGAGGGAGGTCCAGGGGCCCTTTGACATCAGTTGCATGTACATTGGCCATTCTAGGGTTTTGGCCGGAAAACTTGAAATAGATATTCGAGCCGTTCTGGTCATATTCGAGCCAAGCGGCTATGGGGGTTGGGTAGAGGAGGTCAAGGCGGTCCAATGGTGTTAATTTGGGACCATTTGGCGTAACCGGCGACTTGGGCGGAAAATCTTCTGATGTAGATTCGACGAGATATGGGAGGATTCGAGGGAAACTGACTTGATATTTGGAATGAGGAAGAGAAAGAGAATCTGGGGTGTGATTTTGGGATGGATTGGCCATGGCGGTGTTCGCCGCCAGCGGTGTCGCCGCCGGCGGTGTCGCCCGTTCAGAGAATTGGTACGAGGAGGAAAAGAACGGTCTTTTTGATTTATTAAATCCATCCGACAATTTTATAATTAATCACCAGGGGTTATGGACTGTTGGATCAGGAGAAATGAGGGGCTCAGATTCAAATATGCAGAACGACGTCATTGGGTCCCTCTTGGGACCGGACCGGGTGGACTTTTGGATTTGGGCCGATTTTGAACTGGTTTTTGTTTTTGGACTGGTGTTATTAAAAATTGGCCCACATTTTTATAACCTATTAAAATCTCTTTAAACTCCTCTCTTTTCAATTTTTCTCTTTTTCCTTTTTTATTATATTTTTTCAGATTTTTGTAAAATGCAAAATTAAAATAAAGACCTGATTTATTCCCAAAATTAAACTAATTATTTCCTTAAAATTGATTAATTCCTAATTTAAAGGACACTCATGACAAATTCAAAAATTAATAGTTAAAAATGCAAAATGAACTATTTTTGTTATTTTCTTCTTTGTAAAGTAACTTAATTACTAATTAATCCTAAAATGTGAAATTAAGCCCTAAATGCACATGCCAAGCATATTTTTTTTGTTTTTCATTAATAGAAATGCACAAACAAAAATGCAAACAATTAACATAAAATGTCACAAAATTCACAAAATTGCAAAATAATGAAAGAAATCAGTTTGTTTGAATTTCTAGGAATAATTCATATAGGGCAAAAATCACGTGCTCACACTCGCCACTTACCGTTCTTTTTAGGAACCACAACAGTATTAGCTAACCAGTTAGGATATTTTACCTCACGAATTGAACCAATTTTTAGCAACTTTTGAACTTCCTCTTGAATCACCTTATTTTTGAAAGTTCCTTGTTTTCTTTTCTTTTGCTTGATGGGAGGATATGATGGGTCTTCATTTAGTTTATGAGTCATCACCTCCGGTGGTATACCTGTCATGTCTGTATGGGACCAAGCAAAATAGTCTGCATTAGCTTTTAAAAATTCAATTAACTTATGTTTTACCTCCGGGCTAAGATTAGCTCTTATGTACACTTTTCTCTCGGGCCAATGTATAAATAACACCACGGCCTCTAGCTTTTCTATCGTTGTTTTGATGTTATCATTCTCCTCCGATTCTTGAATGGTATCAGGTCTTGAATCCAGATCTGTTTGCTTTTGCTCAGGTGAGGTTGTTTCCATGTTACCCTCACCTAAATTCTGTAATTGCTATTTGTCTCCACCATTAACAATTGAATCTGTAAC